AAATGTCTGCTACTCACCTATCTCGAAAAATGCCAAACATTTCTTCGATACGCGACCACGCTTTGAACGCAGCTTGTTTTCGCTCCACTGGCACGTAGATTAGCATCCCTCATCGGGATAGATGCAGGCTAGGGAGGGGTATCATACTCTCTTCTTGGTTTTTGGCCGCGATATCGGCTTCATCTTCATCTTCAGCCTCAACTTCGGCCTCAGGCTCGTCTTCATGATGATCTGTAACCTCCTCACCGGCTGTTTCAGTGGCGGCATCGGCGGCGTCGGCGGCAGTGTCGTCTGCCTCATTCTTGAGACTGTCCTTGCTTCCACGGCCGTTTCGAGTACTTTTTCTGGATGATAAGGAAGAACGTGAGGAGTGCTCTTGCGCATCTCCTTCGGTGCCGGTGTCACGATTGTGTTCGTCGTCAGCATCAGACTGGTTTGCGCTGTCGGCGTTGGTCGCAGGCTCTTCGACAGTATTCAGCGCCAGCTCCTGGATTGACGTGGCGCCGACGGAGCCACTTCGCCTTTTCTGAGGCTGCTCGGTCTCGAATTGATCTGCCACTGGCGACCGCTTGCGCTTGCGGTCTTGCGAGTCAGAGCTGAAGGCGTCGACGTTCAGCGCCTTTGTCTTGCTGACAGATTTTAGAGTTGTGTTGTCCGCATCTTCGGCGCTCGAGGCACCGGAGCCCTCGTCGCCAGAGACAGATTCGCGGTCGGCTTTCTCATTGTCATGGTCATGGTCCTTGTCTTCAGGTTTGGCCGCCCGGCGGAGCTTGCTTGGTGTGTGTTCGAAGACTTGGCCGTTATTGTATTGATCGACGACGACGTCTCTCTGGCGCTGATTTCTGGGTGTATCGAAGAGGCGCTCTGTCTCGGCTTCAGTGTCGTTAGCCTCTGAGTTGGCGTCAGACCCGGCGTCAGAGAGGACGGTGGCGGAGTCGGAGTGGTCATCTTCGGCCGCGTTCTCGTCACCGCTAAGACTAGAGTTGTCGCCATCGATTTGCATGCGGTCAATATCGTCGTCGTTGTCGTCCTTATCGTCAACCTCGGTGAGAGGGCTCGAGACATTGCTGTCCTCCAGGTCTGGGTCCACTGCCGATTGAGCCATGGCGGCCGATGCAGTAGCAGTCGCCGCCATTGTCAATGCGAGGCGGTTGAGCATACGCTTTGTAGTGAGGAGTAAAAAGAGGTTGCGAGCACGGCGCAGGCGGGCAGCGACGAAGGCGTTGCGAGGTTTTGCCTGCTTGCGGGTGGTTAGCGAGGGCGGCGACAGCAAAGCGCAGAGAGCAGCGACGCTGGGGAGCGGGAGCTGGGAGAGTTGGCACACACACCTCGACGCCAGAATAATATGCTTATTGATAGTCGTTGTAAGAGCTGCAGCGATTCCCAGTGTCAAAGACGTGTAGTGACGAGCTGGGTGAGGTGGGAAGCATGAGGGGAGAAGAAAGAGTTGCAGAGGTTTGGTCGGGGTTTGGCTGGGTCGGCGCAGAAGAGCAGGTGGTAAAGTGAGCGAAAGTGCTGGTGGTGGTGAGTGGCAGCCTGGGCACTGCACTGGGCACTGGGCATCGAGTTACAGCGCAGTCCCCAGTGGGCGTGGGTGCTAGCACACCTGTAAATGGGTGGCACACCCACCCACACCCACCAAAAGAAGGCTGGCGGCTCCCAAGCTCCCAGCGCAGTAGCGAAACCCGAGGACGGGCAAAGGCACGGCCACCACCAAGAGCAATGGCGGTCAAGACTGGCAGAAACGCGATCATGGGGGGACTTTTCTGGACCCAGCTGCGGTTGGAGAGCCAATGACGCATGGCAAGGCTATGAGCAAAGGTAAGCTACACTAAGCTCAGAAGGGCGGGTGGTCCGATTTTTTTTTTGGAGAAGCCATCGACATGACTTGTTGTCTGCTTGTGTGTTGCTTGGCGCTGTGGTCTTGTCCCATGAGCAATTACCTCTTCGTAGGTACCTACCTACCTACCTACCTGGAGGCTGCTGCTGCTGCTCGCTCGACACCGGCCTCGCCAGTGCTACGTGACGCTACCGCCTGTTGCGCGTGCGACCATGGCTGGCCATTCGACGAGCAGAGTTTTCTAGGGCTTCTGAAAACTTTCTCATGAAGCGGGAATTGCCTTTCGTAAATCCCTCCGCAATGTTGTACTTTTTGTGCATCTAGATTGACTGGACAGTCTCGTCGGAGGATCCCGCATTGTCAGAGTTAGCCTGAACGCTTCGATTGAGTCACAGCGGCCGATGCAGTAGCAGTTGCCGCTACTCCGTATTGTCAACACGATTACTTTATTATCTTGATGAAATCATTCGGACTATATTTACATCTTGAGCTTGCGCGCTTTCCTAAGCTTAGCTCCAAACTTGTAAAAGACCAGTGGGATAGGTATCATGACGACACAAATAAATCCCAATAGTGAATTGCCCCAACCAAGTCCAAGCGAGGCATACATTGGAGGACCGGCAAGTGGAAGGAAAGCACCAACGACACTGCGCAGTATAACATTTGCGGCAATAGCAGACGCAGCATACAATGGGTAGCAGTCAACAATGTAGGTGGTGAGGGGCAAGAATAAACCCATGATGCCAAACCCGTATGGAATGAGCGAGATGATAGTCGAGGCAACGTGGACATTGTAGTATGCACTCCATCCATACCAGAACAATGTGACGGGAAGGAATATGCCAAAATAGACGCTGGTCAAAAGACGCATTTCGGGCTCAAACACTCCGTTATTAGCCAGTGACAGTTTGACAACGACCCTGTCTGAAAACAATGTATTGACGAGCCAACCAAGGATATTTCCGAGTCCGAGGGCAAGGTAAATCAGTCCAATATGATCTGTATCAAATGCATACTGTTCCATGAAGACGGCTGGGATGGTTGTGTATAAAAGATACACAACACCGAACACAAAGGCAATGTAGAGGGATAGAAAGAAGACTAGTGGCGACAAGACCAACATCTTTATTGGACGCACGAGTCCGGCGCAAATGTTTTCCATTGCCACTTTCTCATTAGAGTGGTCATAGCAGCTTTTCAGGATCGAAACGTTCAGCTCTTTCCGAAGACGCATGGTTTTCCGATGCATGAGCACTTTGTGGCTGGTTTCTTTTGTCAGCAGGGCTGTCAAGACCGTGACTGGCACTGCCAGAATGAGGACAATCCAAAAGTCCCAACGCCAGCCGAGAGTTTTTGTGATAAAGCCTCCTAGTAATGGACCAATACTAGGGCCTTTGGGGTAAAGAATATTAGCACTAGCACTTGGGTGTTTCGTCTTCTTTTTTCTTGGTGGCGGCGGCGGAATGAGTGTCTCCTACCGAGTAATGGACCAATATTCCAGATTCCAATAGCGAAGCCTCGCTGTTCTGGGCGAAACAAGTCTCCTATGATACTGCCTCCAAGGGTCTTGAGTACCATATTAGTTACATGTCTGACGATGGAAATATGCAAATATATGAGGAACGGTAGGCTATATAGACATACCAGACAGGCGGCACCACCAAGGCCGCTGAAGAAACGTGCAATAACAAGGGTTTCGATATTTGGTGCAAGGGCACAGCCGATTTGCCAAACGCAGAAAAAGGAATTGGATATAATCAAGACTGGATGTCTTCCATAGGTTTCAGACAACGGCGCGATGAAGATGGGCCCAACAGCATATCCCAGAAGGAAGATGCTCACTGTCATGGAGCCGACAATCGGGCTTGCAACGCCAAATTCCGAGAGAAGCTGGTGAATTGCTGGCGAGAGGATCGATGACGAAAACGGCGTGACGAACGTTACGGCTGAGAGAAGCCAGACCCAAATCCATTTCTGGGTGGTCGAGAAGTTGAAAGGCATAGCGGAGTCCTGCTGGCCATCCCATCCAACAAGATTCTCGTCCAAGTTCGTGATGGGGAGCGGCTCATGTTGAAGAGTATCGCCGGTGGCTTTTTGGCCTAAAATACGGCGCCAGAGCGCAATTTCACTGTTTGGCAGGGTGGCACTATTCTAAGGATATATTACAATCAATAGCTCGTTGCAGCATAGGAGAAGGATGTACCAGCCGCGCATTGTCTTTTTGTAATATAGCTTCCGGCCCATTTGCAGGTAGTTGTACTGAGCTGGTCGTGGATTCTTCCGCAGCGAACGGGACAGCCGAAGACAGGTGAGGATGAACACCCATGGTAACTTGTACCGAGCTTAATAGGGTCTTGGTGTGCAGAAACGAGCAGCCAGCGCAAGTGGCAACAAAAACAGAATGCAAGACCGGGACGGAAAGAAACGAATGATTGGAGTCAACTGGGAAACGCTGAAAGAACCAAGAGCAGAGTTCGGGGATCTGGGATCTGGGCGCCTGACTTTTGACACTGATCGGTCAAAAAAAAAGTAGAGAAACAAGAGAAATTACCCAAGAAAATTCCCATTGCGTAGACAGGCACAGTCTTAGATAATTCCGGGCGGGTTTTCGGGGCGAGAGGGATGCATTGCGCCCGCGCAACACGGCATCTGTTGCCGACGGTTGACCTTTTGAATTAAATAGCCAGTATCGATCGGTAGGCCGACAATTAACAACGCCCGTAGTCTGGCTCATCTATTACATAATGGAGCCTCAGCCCCAGCCTCATTGCAATATAATTCCCCTTTGCATGCGGAGAGGCTTTCGAGGGCCAACCAACCCACCTTCCTAAAGTACGTCGCGGCTAGTAAATAAGTAAAATGAGTTGGCTCGATTTGGCGACTAAAGAGTCGAGTTTAGGGTCCAACATTTTGGCCCTGCAGGCATTCTTCTATTCATGATAGTGTAGCCGTATATAAATGTAGCACAACTTGCTGAAATCCTTTAAAGCGTGGCATGTAAGCCCGCCAGTGACAGTGCGAGGTTGCCTGTAATAAGCAGAAACTTTGACCAAGCTTACACTGGAGCAAACCACAACGGACTCAAAGATTGCAGCAAAAGCGAATGCTGGGCAAGCAGAAGCCCATCTGCGCAAAAATAAAACCACTTTCAATAATTGTGCGACCGCGCCAGGAGTCGAACCTGGAATCTCTAGAGAATATCGTCAAGTGAGAACCGAAATCTAGCGCCTTAACCATTAGGCCACGTGGCCGATGACCATTTATAGGACCTAATGACACTCATCACCTTACCAACGAGCAGGGAGGGACAGCTTCTACGCGAGGATTCGACGAAGACCCGAGGCGTTACTGCTTTCCGAGAGCTGACACTAAAAGTATGCATGTTTCGCTGACTTACACGTATGAATGTTTGCAGAGCAACTGACGGCTTGCGGCTGACAGCGGCCACGGTCGGCAGGGTGGCATCCAGATGTGTGTGTAGGTTGGAGCCCAAATAAATTCACATTGCGAGTCGACAAGACAGTTGTACGGCAAAGCGCGATTGTAGTAAAAGAACAGTCTGCCTGACACGCAACGCGTGAAGCAGGAAGTATTTGGCTATGAGTAGCTAGTTAGGATCTTCTCCCAGATTAGGGGAGTATACATGTAGTTGCAAACAGGTGATGAACAGGATGTCACTCCGTTTTCCAACGGACTGATACTTTTTGATGTGATATTTCTTTTTTATTGTAGTTATTAGCCATCTAATCTGTACTTGGCTTAAAATAGTGGACTTTTTTTTTTTTTTGCAGCATAGCATCAATGCTTGTTATTTATTAGGTAGTGCCAAATGAGGCCTGGCCAGCAGCCAGATTGTGGCTGTCATTGGACATATCTCAGCAGAGGGCGCAGGGATGTATGGATGGTGTGGGCAGTTTTAACCATCCACCAGCCAGAGGCTCAAGAAGTGGCTGGCTGTTAATACGGAGTAAATATCACTTCGCAACATGTGACGCCGGCACACCAGACAGGTGTTCCCGGTACCTGGAAGGATTGCGGCTGATAATGTACGAATACGATGCCGGCAGGTGAATACTGTAGCGACAGCCGTAGAAAGGCACCAGTAGCATAGTAAAGACAGCTGGGTACCTACCTACCTAGGCTGTACAGTAGACGTACTGATAAGATAAACAAATAGAAGCAATGGGTTGGGGTCAGTTTTTTGACAGCCGCAGTGGAGAGTGCCAGGGCCACTACAGATCCACTGCTGTGGGATAACGGATAACAGAAAGGATTTCTGCACGCTGTTCAAAAACAAGCAATATCTTGGACCAGGGGGGCCATTTCCGTGAAAACAAGTCAAGATTCGTTTTCGCATCTGACAGGGTCAAAGGTTGCTGCACCTGATGGTGGTGTGGATCCTTTGGTTGCGTGCCAGCGAGCTACGCTAGTTAACTACAGTGACACTACTAATCCGTACCGTCCATCCACAGCAGCGACAGCAGCGCACTATTCGAGATCAACGACGCAAGACGACGCTCATCATGTCCACTCCTATTACTCTGTACGAGCAGTCTACAAAGATGCTCCCTTTTCTTTCTCACACATTGCCATGCAGTAGATATGGCTCCGTTCATACATACCTACATACCTACATACCTACATACCTAGAACGTGCTCCGAGAAGCACCAGAGTAGTCCTCCGGAGTGGTTCGCCCGCGAGAGAGTGATGCTCCACCCAACACCGAGGGAGGTCTGCATCGTATTTATTAGGCATATATAGAAAGACGAATAATGTCAAAGACTGCAAGCCACAAAAAAAAAACACGATATCATCTTTACTCGATATCCTAGCTCGGCATCTACTCACAGATGATTTTCATGCTTCAGCCACGTTCAGAGCCGCGCACACACCTTGACACCCACTGTTAACCCATCCTCGACAGCCCCACGCGCTTCCTGGGGATCTCCGCCCCCCATTTCAGGTATCTATTCATCTATTTATTTAGTTACAATCACTTTTCTTTTCCACTTCTTCCACCTCATTCACCCCGTCGGCTATCTGAACTCGCTTTGAATCCTCCTCCCCGGACCCGAGTCTGGTGCTAAAATCAACCTTATTTGCTCAAATCCGGAATGACATCGATCACAACCGCATCAGGGGCAAAACATCTGAGCCACGCCTCCACGTACTGCTTTCAACCTGATCTCGTGTCACCTCTGCCTCGCAACTCCTAGTTGCCTTGGTCTAGTAAAGGCATTCATCGTCGCCTCTTTCCGTTCACAAACCATCTATTGCCCCAGCGAGACTTGCTCTGCGCAGCGAAGCAGCTGCCATCAGCCATGGGTCTCGGAGTCCTCGAGCCCAAGGGCAATGAAAAGGTGCCTGGTAAGTAGCCTGTCTACCGCGCAGACCTGCCAACCCTCGTCGCCATGTACACCTTTACTTACATTCTGTTCCCAGGCACCACGCGATACTATGACGATCCTGATCGGCCGCGCGTGGCCGGCGAGCACGATGCTCATCTCAAAACCACGCCTGGTGGCCTCATTTTGGTACCCATCTTTGTCCTGCCAGCCGTCACATACCGCCAAACCCACTGACTGTTTCCATAGACTCCTCAGCCGTCAGATGACCCCAATGATCCTTTAAACTGGCCGATTCGAAAACGCGATCTCATCACATTCCTCCTTTGCTGGGCTGGCGTTCTTGCGACAAGTCTCGGCCCCATCTTGGCCGCCAATACTGTCACGCTCATCGGCAATATTGCCTTGACCATTACCGACGCCGTTGTTCTGACCGGCTATCTTCTCGCCGGTGCTGGTGGTGCCGTCATTTTCTTCGTCCCTTCTGCTCGCGTCTATGGAAAGCGCCATCTCTTCCTCCTCGGTCTCATTATTGTCATCGCCACCAGCGCATGGGCTGGCTCAGTGCCTCTCTTGTCCGACACTCCCGAGGATGCGAGACGTCATTTCCGAAGCATGGCGGCCGCTCGCGCCATTCAAGGTGTCGGAATTGCTCCCTTCGAGAGTCTGCTCAACGCCGCCATTGGTGACATGTATTTTGTTCACGAGCGTGGTATTCGTATGGCCTTTGCCAACTTGGCCGTCTTTGGCAGCGCCTTCTTCACACCCATCGTCGTCGGAAAAATTACTGCCAGCATCGGTCTCGGTTGGACTTTTTACTTCGTGGCCATCTTTACTGGCGCGACACTACCCGCCATTATCCTATTTTGCCCCGAAACCGCCTATCGACGCGAAGCCCGATTCAACACAGACATCTTCACCGAGCAAGATGCGTTGCAGCTTCCGTCGTCCCACTCTTCCCTAACAAATGAAAAAGCGCACCACTCTGGCTTCCGTGCTCTGCCCACCAATCTTCCCCAGCCTTGTGGCGACGCCAACACGCCTCCCAAGACGTTTGTCGAGTCCATGTCCTTATTCGATGGGCGAAAAACGGATGACCCCTACCTGACACTGCTGTTGCGCCCTTTCCCGCTGTTGATCAATCCCGCATTCATCTGGGCCTGTCTTATTCAAGGAACCATGATTGCTTGGACCATTTTCATGGGCGCTCTGGTTGCATCCATCTTCATCGGCCCTCCTCTCTTCTGGGGAACTGCCAAGTCTGGTTACGCGTATACTGGCGCGTTTATCGGTGCTTTCTTAGGCTTTGTGCTTTGCGGCCTTCTCGCAGATATCAGTGTTCGCCTCATGACCAAGGCCAATAATGGCGTCTACGAGCCCGAGTTCCGCATCTTGCTCATTATTCCTATGCTCATTACCAGCGCTATTGGTCTTTTTGGATTCGCTCTCACCGTCGAAGACGTTGCATCGCAAAACCGTTCCGTCATTGTCCCGCTAGTGTTTTTCGGATTCGAAGTCGCTGGCATGATTATCGGGGCTGTCGCCAGTTCTCTGTACATCGTGGACGCCTATCGTAAGTAGCTGCTCTCGTTCGGGTTTGGAACCCTTCACTAATTACTTGCAGGTGACCTTGCCATCGAAGGTTTCACACTCACAATCTTGTTCAAAAACTTCTTCAGCTTCGTCGTCACCTACTACGCCCTTGACTGGCTCATCGCAGGTGGTATCCGCCGTGTCCTCGTCATCATTTCCATCCTGCAGGTCGTCATTTGCTTGACCAGTGTTCCCATGTGTACGTTATTATGCCCAACAAGAAAAGACGAAGCTTTGCTAATGGTGATGTAGACATGTTTGGCAAGCGAGGTCGCGCCTTTTTCCACCGCCACGACCCTATTGCTATGTGCCGCCTCAAGGAACTCGATGCCATGTTGCGACGCCCCTTTCGCAAAGGTCCTACTGCCTCGTCTCAGTAGACTTAATTCTCATCTTGACTTAAACCTTCGCAACATGTTGGCATTCAGAATAGGGCAACTGAATTGCAAGTGTATACCACTCATAGGGACGCTACACGACTGGTTCATTTAATGGTTTGCTTACGAAAGAATGGGGTACAAGGCGTTTGGTTAATGTTGGTTACTGATGATTATTTATTCCCCCTTGGTTATCGTGCAGCTTACATTTTATTTATTTGCAACAGCCTAACTGCTATACAAACAGATGGCCTTAATACATGTCAACGACAACGAAGCCTTGCGCCACCGCCTGGAATAGTGAAGATATTCTCGCAGCATGCATTCAAACTAACTGGATGACAGCCTAGTGTACCTCACTATGCACAACTCACTACTGCTTCGACGATTCCATCTGCATCTGCATTAGTCTGCCAAAACTTGACAACTTCAAACCCAGCTTTGGACAAGAGCGCAATCCACTGGCTCTTGGACCGCTCCATCCCACCACTAAACGTCATGACGCACATGTCCAGCTCGCACATGGCCCGCGCCGCGCCCGCATCTGGCAGAATCGCCTCATATATGAGCAACTTGGAGTGGCCCGGCCGCATCGCATCCCGCAGCTCCTTCAAGATGCGCAGGCAGTGGTCATCCGGCCACTGGTGCAGCACGCGGCGCAAAAAGTAGGCCCTCGCGCCGCGGACCGGTTGTCTCGTGAAGAAGTCGTGTTTTTGCGTCACAATGGCGGGATCCAGCGTGCCCGGCTTGATGCTGTCAATGACGGGTGGCAGGTCCTGCAGCACGAGCGCCCCAGCGCGGCCGCTGCTCGGAAAGGCCTCGTGAAAGGCTTGCAGGTCGTGGCCCTTGCCGCCCGCGACGTCGACCAGCAACGCGCAGGAAGAGGAGGAGGAAGAGGAGGAGGAAGAGGAGGAGGAGGAGGAGGAGGAGGAAGA